TAGGAAAGGTGGTCAGAACGACGATAGGATGGGATTCAAAATAATGCCTGAGCTTCCTTTTTGCATTCACCAATGATAGGATCACTCGTTCGGCCTTTGAATACCGTCTTTCTGATTCGGCCATTGTTTTGCTAACATAAAACACTGGGAACTGCTTTCCTTCTTCACATCGCACCAGAACGGCACTCATTGCAATGCTGGACACACCAAAGTACATAAAGAGCTTTTCACTTGGCTCGGGAGCAGATAAGACTGGAGGATTCCGCATATACTCTTACAAGCTGGTCAGTGTCTGTCGTTGCTCATCCCCCCATGCCTGCCTTCCATGGCCTCTTATTGTATCGAAAAACGGTTTACAACGGTCTGACAACTTAGAAATGAATCTACTCAATGCGGCTAATCGACCTGTGAGTGCTTGCACTTCTTTGATCGTTCTTGGTTCTGCATTTTTTATCAGAGCTTCTGCTTGGGCTGGGCTAGTTTCAATTCCTCTGTTATTGACCAAGTGTCCCAGGAACTGCTCAGAACCTACGCCGAACGAGCACTTAGTTGGATTAAGCTTCATTCCATACCTCCTCAACACCCCGAAGACATCTTGCAAGTGTTCCAGGTGTTCGGCCTTCTTACTCTTTACCACCATGTCATCAATATAGGCTTCTACAGTCTTCCCCATTTGATTTTTGAAAATCTTGCTGACCAGCCTTTGATAAGTAGCTCCAGCATTTTTTAGTCCGAACGGCATGACTTTGTAACAGTAGATTCCTCGTTCGGTGACAAAAGAAGTTTTCTCTTCATCATTCGGGTCCATAGGGATTTGGTTGTAGCCTGAGTAAGCATCTAGGAAGGTTAATCGTTCGTATCCAGTAGTGGCATTCACCATTTGATCAATCTTTGGCAATGGGAAGCTGTCCTTCGGGCATGCTTTGTTTGAATTGGTGAAGTCAATACATACTCTCCATTTCCCATTCTTCTTCTACACAACGACTACATTTGAGAGCCAAACCGGATACTGAACTTCTCTGATGAACCCTGCATCTAGCAATCGGTCAATCTCATCAGCTATGATTTGATTGCGCTCTGGGGCGAACCTCCTCTGCTTCTGCCTTACAGGCTTGGCGTTCGGATCTACATTGAAGGAATGACAAGACATGGAGAGACTGATTCCTGGCATGTCTGAATGGCTCTAAGCAAACACATCTGCTTTCTGAGACAGGAAATCAATTAGTTGTTGTTTTTCCCCTTCTGCAAGGCCTGACCCTACCCTTGTTGTTCTATCTGGCTTATAAGGATCTATTTGTACATCAATGAGGGGCTCTTCAGTAAGAACCAAAGGCTCATCCTCCCCCCTGATCGCTTTGGGGGGAGGTCCCTGTAATTGCTATTTCGGATTGTCAGATCGGGCTGGAGCTTTTTCCTTACCAGCAGCTTTCAATGTCACGGAGTAGCATTCCTTGGCTGCGACTTGATCCCCATGGATGCCAATCACTTTACTCCCATCCGGGCTCAAACATCTTATCACCTAGTGCAGAGTTAATGGGACACACGGGACCTGTGAATCCATCCTCTTCCCATCAAGAGGTTGTAAGACGGATGGATCTCGACGACCACAAAGCTCTCTGTCACAACTCTTTTAGTAGCTTGTACTGGCAATTCCACCATACCAATGGGCTCTACCTGTTTCCCATCGAACCCCAGCAATGGATTTCCAATGGGTTTGAGCTTTTCTGGCTTAATTTCGAGTCGATCAAACGTTATTATCGGCATGACATTCGCACTACTCCTTGGATCAATCAGAACTCTCCGCACCAAGCATTCTGCCACTGTCAGACTGACTACCAGAGGATCTTCATGTGGGACCTGTACACGCAGTAGATCCGTTTTGGCGAATTTCATTTGAACTGATGCGCTCTGCTGGTGCAGAGCGTTAACGCTGCCTATCCTTCTCTTCATCTGCGCTTGGCGGAGGCGCGTTCGGAGTAGTTCTTCTGACTCCTCGATCGGCTCAGGTCGGCCGTGAATTGCATTTATTATTCGAACGGGCTGTGCGTTATGGTAGCTTGGCTTTTGATTCTTCTTCACTTGCTCTGCCGGTCGATTTTGTTCCACAGCCAGTCCTTGAATATATCCTGCAAACTCTCCCCTAGCTATCAGCATCTCCACTTGCCTCCTTAAATTCCTGCATTCATTAGTTTGATGACCAAAATCACTATGGAAAGCACAATGTTTAGATTGATCTCTCTGCTCGAGAGGTTGTCTAATTAGTAAGGGAGAGCGAAACTTATCTTTGTTCTCCTGATATAGCCTTACGAGAGTGACTTTAAGTGGAGTGACCAACTCCTCTTCTCTAGGCCTCTTCTCTGCCTTCCAAGAGGTCTGACGCTCTGGCTGAGCTTGTTTTTGCCAGATCTTGGTTTTGAACTTCTCCTCTGTTGATATAATCGCATCTTCCTTGCATTAGCTGCTTCTTCTTCCTCCAAACGCACAAAATCGTCAGCTCTCTCGTTCAGCTCGTCCATGGTCTTCGACGTGTTTACCACCAGACTTGTGTGGAACGGTGTCCCTCGGTTCATTGCTAGCTTGAATGTTTGAACCGCTGTGGATGGATGACATTCCATTACCATGCTTTTGACGAGGTTGAACCTGGTGAGGAAAGTTTGGAGTTGCTCTTCTTCGTGCTGCTTCATTGTCAACAGACTTGAGACATCTTTGGTCGGGCGCTTGTTTCCATAATACTGGCTTATGAACTTGTTACACAGGTCTTAGAAGCTAACGATTGAGCCTTTGGCCAAATTCTTAAACCAATTGAGCGCTAGTCCGGTCAAACTTGTAGGAAAGCACTTGCACATCAAAGGATCATTCTCCGTGTTCAGAGCCATTTGCAACTGAATTTGGTAAATGTGATCGATAGGGTTACTCGTTCCGTCAAACAGGATGAAAACTGGCATGGAAAACTTCCTCGAATTCAGAGCGTCCAAGATCTCATTAGTAAACGGTGAAGCAACCGTTCTTGCTAATGAACGAAGGGCTTCATTCTCCCTTGGATACTTTGAGAATGTCTTCTGTTCAACAGACCCCCTGTCCAGACCTCTATATTCGTGTGTGGCCATTAACGGTCGATATGGAGGATCATAAGACCGTTCCTCTATTAACTCCCTTTGCCATGACGGTGTAGCCTTGTTGCAACCGAACTCCATGGCTTCTTCTTGCCTCGGCCTTTCTTGATATGGATTGAATGCCATGACTTCCTCCCGTCTGATCCGCTCACGGTGCGGATCCAGATGGATAGATCCTTCTCGATCTTCCACGTGACGAGCATTTGGTGGCAAATCGCCTGGTCTGATCTCCTCGCGGTGAGGATCCACGCGATTGTTACCTTCCTGCTCACCTTCGTGAGTCACACCGGGTTGCATAACTCTTTCCCCTACCGGAGGTGGTCGTGGAATCGCCGGAGCTTCCCGATGCTCCATTCCAGCTCGCAATTCTGCATTCTCTCTTCTTAGAGCCTCGATCATATTCATCAACTCATCAAGCTTCGCCTGCTAGCCATTCCCTAGTGGATTAGAGCTCTCACCTTCGATCATCGTTCCTGATCGCAACAAAGTCATCAACTGTGACTTCCTGATCGGATCTGATCGCTACTAATGCGAATACACTAGATCTGGCCTTAAACTAGCTGAATTCCAATCTCTTTCCACCGGATCTGATCTACAATCTGTTGATTCTATTCTTGCCGTGAACTTGTCAAATCTGATCTCAGTAAACAGATCGAGATTTCTCAGATCTGATTCCAATCTCTAAAGAACAACTAGAACCAGGTCTGTGCAAGACAGAGCATAATCTCGCCAACCTGAATCCAGGTTCCAGAGATCAAGCTTCTTCTTCACGAATCAGCCTTGATCGAATCAATCTTGATCGAACGCGAATCAATCTTGATCGTTTCCCACAGACGGCGCCATTGAAGATGTAAGAAATTTCTCTCTCTATTTTGACAAAATAACTTTACACTTCAAGAATTTTTTCCATCCCCTTTTCCCTCTATTTTCAACCTATTTATAGACTGTTACAAACCTTCAAGAAGCTTCCTAACTAACCCCTTGGATCGGGCTGCCCTTTTGGGCTCCTCTTAGCCATGGGCCTAATTCTTATGATCGGGCCTCAAACATTATCTTCCATTCCTGGGCCTGACTTGTGAAGACCTAGTTCGGCTCAATGTCACTTATCCGACCCGCTTCTAGCGGTCTAGGTCGTGCCCGGCCCATGCCCTTTTTGGCGTCCTCAAAAATGGATGAGGCAAAGCCCACATTCTGCCCAAGATTGCATGCAATTTAAGCAGTGGGCCCGCGCAGTTATTTGTCATTGCTGCACCATTTCACCAAAAATGCACTAAACGTCATCAATCAAGGGGTTGCATCCAAAACAGCAATAAAGCTACATGTCACGTCCTGGTTGACAGACACCAAACGGTGAGGCCCTTACAAAGGCAACAGCCAATAAATTCTTGAAAGTAGTGCCACAACCATATCTCCAAATGTAATAGAATCCCTTCCCCTCCCCACCTTCCACCCACTCCCAATAAAAGAATAATAAAGGGGAAAATGTCAAGCACGTGTAGTGCATGCAAGTCTTCATCTATATTTCCTTCAAGGGATAACATCTTATGTTGTTACTTTTATATAGGGCCATAATGCCTCATGAAAGGCATAAGATACAAATACATGGCAAAAATTACATATCAAGTCCACAAGAATGACACGTTGCAGGTTGCAAGTCAATTTAAATTAATACACAGATTGACAAGTATACACATGTTGGTTTACATTGATAATGTTTTCAAAAAGATGAAAGAAATAAATCAAAACAAAACAATAAAATCCACAATAACAACTTATAACAGATGCACATTGACAGAAAACAAGTGTTTAAATAAGCAAATTTACTTTATGTTGCCAATAAATCAAGATATAAATATATTGTCCAACAGTCATTCAAGATTATATTACCCGCATCCCCATTTGAAGTCTCCTTCACAATATACGCCAAAGGCTTCAAGAATTACTGCTAAAATAGCACTAAGAGACTTTATTAGCATCTGCAAAAGAAATCAATGTGCTTTTCCATAAACCATGTAATCAAGAACTTGATAACAGCAAATAGCAACAAAATAAAAGCTTTCTGCATGAGGCAAACTTACATATTGAACGATTCCAAACTTGATAACTTGGTAAACCCACTGACCCAGTTTCCAAGGCTTTAAAAAATAATTCATTGGAAAAGGGTGCTTTACGGTTCCCATTTCAGAACTGTGCTCCAGTAAGGGGGTTTTTGAACTTACACGGCCTTGCCTCTCCATAAACTCGATTGTCCTCTCTTCCCCACCTTATTCAAATAAAGAAAGGAAAAATTAAACCACCAAGAAAAACAAAAATGGTCAAAAGCCTATTTATGCATGAAGACGACTTGCATAACCAGGGCCGTGTGTGCATGTGAATGAATGGAAACTAGAAGGGAGCTCTGAATCTAACAAACAGAGATTAGGTTAGCACATTACGTTTACAATGTTAATATTGAACTTTACCATGGATGTTTGCATGACGGCCAAATCTTCAAGTAAGAAGCCAACGGCACTTTATGAGGTAGTATTCAATGCATAAATTACTCAATTCTGGAAAGTATCCATAAAAATTAAACAAACTTCCACATATCTGTGTCTTAAGTTCTTGACTAGTGTCAAACACACAGACAAATGTTTGTTGGCAAGTGTTCAACACATGGACACTTGAAGTTAAAAGTATCTTATAAATGACAACCGTGTGACCAAATGCAATTGCATCCGACAAGTTTGTTGTGATCCCGACTCCCACTGATATGGTGGTGAGTATAGAGACGCAGACAAGTCAACACATTATCTAATAGTGTGCAAGGTCGAGAAAATTTCACAACCACAATTTTGAATAATGTTACATGATGCCCCTTCACCACACATCTGAGTCTGCGGCCATGTCTGTGACTTAAAACCATGATCCAAACCAAGTTGATTTTCCATCTACAAACCAACCCAACCCAATTCTGACCAAAGTTGAGTCCGTTCAATAACTACCAGTTCTAAATGTAAACAATGAAAGCATGTAACGAACAAATCATGAGTTTCCTATAGAATTTATACCTGTGAGAAACTTATACGGATCTATTATATAGAAGTTGAATGATTATTGTGAAGCACTTTTATAAAACCCACATCTAAACTGAAAAGAAAATGATAATCCAATAATCAAACCAGCTGGAACTATACAAAAGATGTCACATTCAGTAGGGAGCAGAACATGAGAAAGGTGAACAAATTCAAACCAATTGCAATTAATTTACCATGTCCATGATAGTGGAAGGAAAAGGGTAAATACTTACAATTAGAAGGTAGTGGAAGAGAAAAAAATAAGAAAAGGGGAGGAGAAAACAGAAATAAGAAAGGAAGGACAAAGGGAAACGGAAGAGGTAAAGGATATTTTGTAAAAGAAAATTAAAATGCCTAAGTTTAATGAGAGAGGAGAATTTAAACATGCAAAAATGGCAGAATACTATTTACTAGACAAGGTAATCATATACCCGTTTGCATTTACAATAAGGGATATGTCTGCATAGGTGCAACATTGAATACCAAATACCATATGTTAATTCATTTGGTGACTTCACGGTTGCCAAAGAAGCCCCAAGAAACATAAAAAATTTCAAGTAAAGTATACAGGAAAAACTGATATGCATCCCGGGTAAGGCAAATTCCTTGCCAGTTAATCCGGCCACAAAGCCAGCCTGTCGGTTTATAGCCTCTCTTACTCTAATCGATAGTAGACTTGAGCCCGTGAACACCCTTAATAATTAGTTGTTAAGCCCTGAACATTCCTGAACTTATGACAGTTCGACTCGTAAACAGACCTTCACTTAAGGACTGAAGGGATTTTTAGCTGAACTTTATAAGTTCAGGAAAGGAGTAGTAAGGACGAAGGTATGCATTAATCTGATTTCATATTCATTCTAGACTTCAACAATACAAATCTTATTTAATACGCTAAAACATCTACAGGTTTTAGGTTTAAATACTTCTACCCCTCGAAAAAGAGAGACATAATTTATTTATTTATTTTGGGAGGTGGTGTTAAGATTCAATTAAAAAAAAAAAAAAAAAATTAAATATAGCTTGTATAATTATGTTAGGGTACACATTGATTAGTGAAAATATGGCTACTAGCTTTCACATTAGATCATTTAATCCACATCTCCGTGTCTCTAGATTTTTTTAATTAAAAAAATATTAAAATTAGATTTTTTTTTTTTTTTTTTTAAAAAAAGTGGGGGGGGGGGGGGGGGGGGGGGCTAACTTTCACAGAATGTTAGCACAAAAATGTACTGTAAATATAAGAAAACACAATTCACATATTTTTCTTAGGAGTTAGAGAATTTATTATTACAAGATTATTTAAAGTACGTTGATTTAAATAAACCAATAGAGTCTGACTCAAACATCTAGGGCAATCTAAACTTCCAGTATGAGTAAGCAATTTATAATATTATGAGGACAATAAAATCATTAACAAATAAGCATAAATAAATAAATAAGAAGAAGAATTAAAAAATTGTCATCATGAATATGAAATTTAAACGGTAATCCATCAAATGAATAATACAAAAATTAAGATAATCCCATCAATCATTGTAGCACAAGAGACTGTTTTCCAAATAGCCCACAAGAGAGACATACCTAAACATGCAACAAGATATCTTCCAAAGCAATACATGGCAAAGGATTCATAGCAATCACGTAATATCCCAATATCAACACTGATTGATGGGTTCACCAACGATATGAACTGTACAAAACAAATCCAAGTTAGAATTTAAATGATGTATCACCATACCAGAGGCAATATGTTACAGTGCAATGCCAAAACTACATTCAAAACAAAAAGTTAACTTCATAATATAAAGAACATATAACAGAGTTTTATTTTGGTAAGTAAATCACAATTCACACAGACCCCCATTTTTGTCCATCGGAGACTTGAACCCTCAACCTTCTATTTGGAAAGAGGAAGAGACATCACTTGGGCTAAGCCCTTCAAGGTATTCACACTCTACTTTTGTACTATTACGCTCCGCTTGCTTTTTATTAAAAAAAAATGACAGGTTTGTCCTGCAAAAGCAGACTAATGAGGAGAGCGGAGGATTTGGGTCTTATCAGAGGTTTCAAAATGGCAGAGATTTAGCTCATCGGATGGAGATCTCCCATTTGCTGTTTGCGGACGATACCCATGATGCCAATGTTTCCCAACTTAGATATTTGAGGTGCATTCTTGTTTGTTTCCAAGCGGTTTCTAGGCTGAAGGTAATTTTTGGCAAGAGTGTGCTTCTCCCAATTGGGGATGTTCAGGATATTTCCTTCTCAACTGCAGTTCTTGGGTGTGGGGTGGGTGCTTTTCCTATTCCTTATTTGGGACTGCCTTTGGGGGTCTCCTCTAAGAGGGTGGGGAGTTGATATCCTGTAATTGATAGGTTTGAGACGAGGTTGGCAGGGTGGAAAAAGCAATATCTGTCGAGAGAGGGGGGGGGGGAGGTCGCTCTTATAAATAGCACTCTCTCGTGCCTTCCCACTTATTTCTTATCTCTGTTTCAAATCCCATGCTCTGTCGCCGAAAGAATTGAAAAGATTCAAAGGGACTTTCTCTGGGGTGGAAGGGGTGAGGAGTTCAAGTATCATCTCGTCAAATGGGAGTAAGTATGCAAGCCCTTGAAGCTAGGCGGTCTGGGTACCGAAAGTTGGTTCCCTTTAATAGAGCTTTTTTGGGAAAGTGGTTGTAGAGATTCGGTAGGGAACAACATCGCCAGTGGAGAAGGATTGTTCCATGTCGTTTTGGGGGGGAGAGCGGTGGTTGGTCTTCCCGTCCAGTCTCTATCGTGGGAGGCGTTGGCACGTGGAAATTCATTCGGAAGGGTTGGGATGTCTTCTCTTCCCATATTAGATTCAAGGTTCGCGATGGTAGATGTGTCCGATTTTGGGAGGATTTATGGCGTGGAAATCAGCTGTTGTCTTGCTCCTTTCCTAGACTCTATAGTATAACCGACGATAGACACGCCTATGTAGCTGATTGTTATCGGCTTGATAGCAGTGGGATTACGTGGGATATGCGCTTTAGGCGTTCTTTTCAAGATTGGGAGATAGATGAGGTATGTGCCCTTTTGGACATGTTGTATTAGCAGGAGGCAATTGGCAGAGGTAGTGATGACACTTTGTTTGGACTGCCGTCTGGGGTAAGATCTTTGTTTGGACTGCCGTCTGGGGTAAGATCTTGATGCTGAACAATTTGAGGAAGAGAGGTAATACTATTGTTAATTGGTGTTGTCTATATAAACGAGATGGCGAGTCTGTGGATCACATCCTTAGGCACTGTCGTGTGGCATACGATTGTTGGAACCACATTTTCGGCTTAGGTGGCATGCATTGGGTAATTGGAGGATACCAAGTGAGAAGTCACGCTCAAGATTACTGGAGGATAGTTCCACACTGTGTTTGGTGATGCATATGGAAAGAGAGGAATAACAAAATTTTTGAAGGAAAGAAATCGCCTTTGGCGACCTTGAAACTTCATATTCTTCGCTCTATTTTTTGTTATGTGAAAGGAAGCACTTGCTCCTCTACCGTTGACATAGTTGATCTTTTGGACTCTATGGGTCCTTAGGTTCAACTTCCGTTTTTGTATTAGGGATGTGTTTCCCTTTTGAATGCTTTTCTAATCGATTATTGCTTATCAAAAAAAACACTCTCACACTCCATAATTATCCCAAAAAGTACTCTTGCACCGCAATGTTGAGGAGTGATAATGTCATTTCCTTTATTAAAAATTTAAATGGAGTGCAAGAGTACAATAATTGAGTGTGAATATCACATATCGATATTAATCATTAGTTATTTCGCTAATATAACATTAGCACAATTAAATATGTGAATAGACACCAATCAGCACTAATTGAAAATTTCAGATTGAAACTGCTGCCGATTTTTTATTGGACTACCTACAATCCGTATTGTTATTACTATCTCAACATTCTTTCCAATAATCCTCCTCAAAATTGTATGAACTATACAGTATGAAAACTGTTAGCATCAATAAGTTGGATAACAAATGTGTCAAAAATCCAAGAGATGTACAGAAATTTTAATTTCCTAAATGATTATTTGATTTCAAGCCTTGGATGATTCTATAAAGTCGTGGCTACTGAAATTCTTACACGTCTGCATGACCTTTAGTACTTTCTTTGGACTTGGGGAAGGTTTTTTTGATATGGAGGAGCTTCCAGTAAACAATTCAAAGCAGCAGATGCTTAGTTCTTTTTATCAAATGGCTTTCAGGGAAGGGTTTTGTATCTACTTCTTTTTCTTATTTTTTAGGGGACATGATTCTAGGTGTGTCAGACCTGTTGGGGGGCCTCTAACCTTTATATTTGTCATGTACTGCAATTACACCACTTTTGGTGCTTTTATTTGATACTTTTATTTATAAAAAATAATCAGTTCAATTTTAAATTGGACCGCGTTTGGAAAAACAAAGTTCAAAAACTTGAGCAAAAGAAGAACTATGCTCCAGATTCACTTGCGGCACGGCATCATCTTCCGTTTCTTCAAAGCCATGGAAATTCCAATCATTTGATTATTCAAGGAAGAGGTAGCACGACCAAAATGATAGAAGAGAAGGATGTGAATTGTTGATATCTGAAAATTAGGTGTGACTTGGCAAATGTTTAGTAACATGAAGCAATATAGAGAAACAATTCTCACTGAGAAGCAGTTGATCATGAAAGGCAATACCATTCATTGGAACAAGAATGCATATTCTTGTAAAAATTATCACCAGTGCAGATCCAACTAAGAATTCCTTTGGAGAGATGTATAGTCATAAATTTTGCATCTTATGCCTAAATTGAACAGAAAAATACTAATTGAGAAAAAAAGACGAAAAGCAATGACAGAAAAAGAAAATATTACCGTGCGGGGCGGGGCAGGGGGAGGACGGGAGAGAATTTATTCTTTGCAAGAGATGAAATTCTTTAGAAGAGAGTGTGTCCTCCACTTAATTTTTTCGACAACAAAATCTTCTTTTGAGCAAGATATAACACTCAGTTTGAAGTTGAACATGAGCAATAAAAATGGTTCCACAAGAATTTTCTAGCATACCATGTCGTGTTGTGGGTGAGTCAAAAAAAAAAAATTACAAAGTTAAACTTATTTTGGTCTTAGAGTCTTAGGCTCATCAGTCATGCAATCTTGTTGCTTCAGATGAGGTCCTACTTTGGTTCCAGTACTTTGAATTTGTTTTAGACCCAGTGCAAGGGGAACACTACCATCCTTTCAGTCTTTCCATCAATACTTTTGTCTTCAATAGTTTAATTCTAAGAGAATTGATTGATGAACCGCAAACATGAGAAGGAAGAACTTTGAACGTCCTTATTAACTGAAGTAAGTTGTGTTTACCATTTTGAGGAGTGGAAGCGGATGATCAAGCGAGAGGCGAACGAGTTCTCCTTCTTGTTTCCGCCAGAGCTGTGGTGCCGAAGTTTGTTTTTGTTGAAGACCAACGAGCAGCCTTCAAGATCAGTTTGATTGAGGAAACCACACCTTGCATCCTTCCAAAATCCTATTATGGGTTTAGTGAGGCTTCTCCCCTTCCGTCTGATGGAGAATTCAACGGTGGGCGTCATCGGCATTTGCAGACTCAACTGAGTTCTCAAGGAAAGCGAAGAGCGTATGCCAACGTGCCGGCAGTGAGTGGGATAGATAGATATCCGAGGCGTACGCATCACGCCCGTCATCAATGCTTTTCAAATCCTCTTTTTGATCGCCTTGATGGTAATCAACCACGTGGGCAACCATGTGGCTTCACGAGGGCCTTTCATGCAGCGGACTCAGATGGGCGTAAGTATGGGCCTCTTTTTTGGGCTGAACAATGGGCCGTTAGGTTTTTATGGACCACAAGCTTCACTTAAAAGGAATGTTATGTGGAGACCCAACAATAAGCTATCCATTTCTTTCCTCAATGATAAACCCAAACCACAGTTGCCCAAGTCCAGCCGAAACAATGCTAAGTTACGTATTGGGCCATTTGAAGACTTAAAAAGAATGGTTCATTGGGGGCCCAATAATCAGAAGTCAGTTTCTTTTCTTAATACAAAACCCAGTCCTGCCACCGAACCAATTATTGATCATATACAGGGTCGTTTTCCTCATGCTCCCTCTGTGACTTTATGGAACTCGCCGGAGAAGAGGAGATGGATGAAATTAAGTGAAGATGAGGTTGGTGTGGGAACAGACAAGAAGGGCTTTCATCATCTACAGTGTTGCGCTGATTCTTCACTCAAGCCCCCTCCAGCTACAACTCAGATAATGGGAAGCAGCTCTAGACTTTCATCTCGGGATTCTCACAGAAGCAACCATGTTTATAGATGGTCGAGGAAAGATAAACAGAAATGGACCTCCCCTGACCCAGGTATGTCCTCTGTTTCTCATTCTCAGAGCTCCCTTAAAGCACCTTCTTATTCCACCCTTTCTGGAGAGGTGAGGGGCGATGTTGAGATGTCAATGGAGAAGAGTTGTGTTATGTCTGATGTGCCCTCGGCACCTGCTGAAGAGTTTGGGCTGGTTACAAAGAAGACTGCCAGCAAAATTGTCACTTCAGGCCAAGCTGATTCACTCAATTGTGAAGTTCAGGACTCATCAGATGGGGTCTTGGTCTAAGTTGGGAGAGACCTACACTTTCAGCTGTCTAATGAGTCAACCATGGCTCTCTGAAGGTCTACGGAGGAGATTATTGTTTTTTTGGCCTCTCTGAAGGTCTAAGGCGCCCTTTGGCCCTTTTGTTTCTTTGGGTTCCGCTCCCCTTTTGAGCGTTTTTAATAAAATCTTACTTATAAAAAAAAAGCTCCCCTTTTGAGCGTTTTTAATAAAATCTTACTTATCAAAAAAAAAAAAAAAATGAGTCAACCACGGCTCTGCTCAAAGAACTTCGCCCTTATGTTGCTTTGAAAGGTTTTAATTGCATATCGTCTGACGGGGAAGAGGAGAATAAATTGGTTAGTTTCTTGAGCAGTGGACTGGGAGACTGTACTGATTCTAACTCGTTTTCAGAGCCTTTTGATTTTGGAAGGGATTGTGATGAGGAGGTGGCTACTGATTTGGTTTCTATCCAAGAAGTCTGTTCTAACGAGTTTGTACCTTGGATGGAGAATGATTTTTCTGAAGTGATAGAGGAGAGACCTTTGGCAATTGAGAGATCTGGTTGTTCAGTAACAAATGTTGATTTGGGTAAGGACTGGATGATTGAAAATATAATAGCAGCTAGTGAGTTGCTAGGTGTTTCTTCAGAGGGAAACAGTAACCAGACACTCTCCATTCTTCAACCAATAGTGGAAGGCAGAGAGGTAGCTGTGACTGAAGAGGTAGTGAACCCGAGGCCTTTATCATCCTGGAAAGGGGCACAGGAGATCAAGAATCTTATCTCTGAAGTCAATTATGTAGGAAAGAAAGGGTGGTGAAGGAGAGGGGAAGGACTAGGAGTCGGAGCGCGAAGAAAGGAAGAGGGGAGATTATTTTATCTGGTTTTTAATGAAGCTACGAATTATTTCTTGGAATGTTCGTGGTCTCAACGACCCGAATAAAAGGAGGGTGGTTAAGGTTGCTTTGAGGAAGTGGGGGGCCCAAGTTGTTTGTTTGCGAGAAACAAAGTTGGCATCCATTACGTATGAGGTGGTTAGGAGCTTGTGGGGAGGAAGGTTTGTTGAATGGGAGGTCTTGGATGCTACAGGTACTTCGGGCGGTATCTTAGTTATGTCGGATTGTAGATGGGTGTCTCGGTTGGATGTGTGGGTGGGGAGATTCTCAGTGTCATGCAAGTTCAAATTGGAAGAGGACAATTTCAGTTGGACTGGGGTTTATGGACCAGTTTTTGATATTGATCGGCCTTTTTTCTGGGAGGAGCTTAATCATGCTAAAGAAATGTGGTCTCTTCCTTGGTGCTTGAGTGGGGATTTCAATTCTGTTAGATTCCCATTAGAGAGGTCCACAGGAGGTAGGAGGTCTTCTGAAATGGATCAGTTTCTGATTTCATTGATGAGCATCTTCTCATTGATTTACATATGGGAGGCGCAGCCTATACATGGTCAAATGGCAGGGACCCAGTCACTTTTTCAAGGCTGGATCGTTTCTTGATTTCTGAGGAGTGGGAAGAGAAATTCCCGGATGTCGTTCAAGCAGTTTTAGCTCGGGTTATTTCTGATCATGTTCCTTTGGTTTTAGATTGTGGAGGTTTGAGTTCTCAAAGGTCTCCGTTTCGATTTGAGAATATGTGGCTAAGAGCGGAGGACTTCCAAGGAAAAGTTCAGTCTTGGTGGGAGGGAGTTGTTGTCATAGGCTCATCTAGTTTCATGTTAACTACAAAGTTGAAGGCTCTCAAATTTGATCTTAAAAAGTGGAATAAAGACGTTTTTGGGAATCTTGAATGGAGGAAGAGTAGAATCCATGCTGATTTTTATGAGATTGATCACCTAGAAGAGGCGGGTGGGGATGTGGAGTTTTTGCGTTCTAGGAGAGCTTCTTGTCAGGCAGTTTTTGACGGGTGTTTGCTAGTATGGAGGAGATATCTTGGCGACAAAAATCCCAGGCTCTTTGGCTAAAAGAGGGAGATCGCAATACAAAAAATTTTCACAGACTCGCTAACTTCTCATAGAAGAAGTAATCATATAGGATGTATTCGGGCGGAAGGTGTAGAGTTGTGGAGGGAGGAAGATGTGCGTAATGGGATTGCTTCTTTTTATTAGAAGCTTTATACCGAACCGCTTACTTGGAGACCTAAACTTGATGGTCTTCATTTCGAGGCCATTTCCGAGATTGATAGGGAAGGGCTTGAGATTCTTTTTATTGAAGAAGAAGTTCTACAGGCCTTATCTAGTTGTAATGGGGACAAAGCTCCGGGGCCTAATGGGTTTACTATGCGGTTTCTTTTGGAAAGTTGGACAGTTGTGAAAAACAATGTCATCACTTCTCAAGAGTTTTATTCTACTGGTGCCTTTGAGAAGTCGCTTAATGCAACTTTCATTGACCTTATCCCTAAGAAGGGAGGTGCTTCTGACATTAAAGACCTTCGTCCTATTAGCTTACTGGGATGTATTTACAAGCTTCTGGCTAAGGTCCTTGCTCTTAGGTTAAGGGGAGTAATGGATGGGATTATTTCACATTCCCATAATGCTTTTGTTGGAGGAAGACAAATTCTTGATTCAGTTCTTATTGCAGGTGAATGTGTGGATTCCTGATTGAGAAGTGGTGTTCCCGGAGTCTTATGTAAACTTGACATTGAGAAAGCGTATGATCATGTGAATTGGAATTTCCAGCTTTATTTGCTTCAGAGAATGGGGTTTGGTAGTAAATGGAGGAAATGGATTAGGACATGCCTTTCGTCTGTCAAATTCTCTGTTCTTGTAAACGGGTCTCCGTTTCTTTGGGTGCTCTTGGGGTTTAAGACAAGGAGATCCCCTGTCATCTTTCCTCTTTCTTATTGTTATGGAGGGCTTAAGCAGAATTATGCGAAGGGCAGAGGATCTTGATCTTATCAAGGGCTTTCTGGTAGGAAGAGATCCTGTCCATCAGATGGAGGTCTCTCATTTACTTTTTGCAGATGACACACTGGTTTTCTGTGATACTAATGTGTCTCAGCTTAGATATCTGAGGTGCATTTTGGCCTATTTTCAGGCTGTCTCTGGTCTGAAAGTTAATGTGGCTAAAAGTGTGCTTGTTCCGGTTGGAGATGTTCAAGATATTTCTTCTTTAGCGGAAGTCCTTGGGTGTAAGGTGAATTCTTTTCCTATTTCGTATTTGGGCTTGCCTTTAGGGGTTTCCTCTAGAACGGTGGGGTGTTGGGACCTATGATTGATAGGTATGCGAAGAGATTAACAGGATGGAAAAAGCAATACTTGTCTAAGGGAGGGAAAGTTACGCTTATAAAGAGCACTTTATCGAGCCTTCCCACATATTTTTTATCTATGTTCCAAATTCCTTGCTCTGTTGCTGATAGGATTGAGAAAATTCAAAGGGATTTCCTTTGGGGTGGGAGAGGTGATGAATTTAAGTATCACCTTGTCAATTGGGAACAAGTTTGCAAGCCAATGAAGTTTGGTGGTCTTGGTATCAGAAGACTGGTCCCCTTTAACCAAGCTCTTTTGGGTAAATGGTTGTGGAGGTATGGAAGGGAAAGACATCGCCCTTGGCGAAGGCTTGTTTCATGTCGATATGGGGAAGAGAGTGGTGGTTGGTCTACTCGTCCGGTTTCTCTTGTGGGAGGAGTTGGGGCATGGAAATTCATAAGGAAGGGATGGGACGCTTTTTCTACTCATATCAGATTCAAAGTTTGTGATGGCATATGTACGCTTTTGGGAGGATCTTTGGTGTGGAGACCGGCCTTTATCTTGTTCATTTCCCAGGTTATACAGTATTACAGTTGATAGACTTGCCTACGTAGCCAACTGTTATCAACTTGATAACAGAGGGATTACGTGGGACGTGCAATTTCGACGCTCTTTTTAGGATTGAGAGGTGGACGAGGTATGTGTTTTCCTGGATTTGTTGTATCGACAGGAGGCAGTTGGCAGAGGTAGTGATGATATGACATGGATTCCCTCTTCCCATGGTCGCTTTGAAATTCGTTCCTTATTCTTATGTCTTTTTGATTTCGATATTGTTGATTTTCCATGGAAGACTATTTGGCGTTCTATGGCTCCAACTAGAGTGGCATTCTTTGTTTGGACCGTTGTTTGGGGTAAGATCCTTACGATTGATAATCTAAGGAAAAGGGGCAATTGTCTTGTTAACTGGTGTTGCTTATGCAAACAAGATGGTGAGTCAGTTGCTCACATTCTCATGCATTGTCCTATGCCGAGGGATTGTTGGAATCTTATCTTTTGTCTGTTTGGTATGCGTTGGGTTATGCCTCGTTATCCTAAGGATTTGATTTGTATATGGCGAGGATGCCGTGTGAGTAGCGCTATTCGCGATTATTGGAGAGTTGTACCACATTGTGTTTGGTGGTGCATTTGGAAGGAGAGGAATAGTAGAATGTTCAAAGGGAACGATTCTGAAACTTCACATCATACGCTCTCTTTTCAGTTATGTGAAGAGGAAGTCATGTTCTTCTTCCGAAGATTTAATTATTTTTTTGGCTTCTTTGGGATCTTAATCCCTAGTTCCACTTTTGTATAAGGGATGCATTCCCCTCTTGAACGCCTATTTTAATTCAATTATTACTTATCAAAAAAAAAAAAAAAAAAAAAAAAAAAAAGCTACAGCCTAAGCAAGGAATTTGAGTGTGGAGACAGGTTAAAAAACCAGATTACCAATCAAAAGGATGGAACCCTAACTAGCCAAAAATTTGATAAACAAAAATGACCCAGTAGGAGGACTTAAAGAACGAATGTCATTGGATTCAAGAGTGTCCATATTCATGGTTGTGGACCCCGAAGGAAAATATATATATATATATATATATATATTATTCATTTCCTTGCTAAGAGTGGTGGGATCCTTGTTTGAACTTTCTTTTATTAATATCCTCCTTCCTTGGATTAGTATTGGGACGCATATATCAAAAGTTCAGTGTACAATTTGAATGAGATAGATTTTATTCATTAAAATAAGGGTAACTTGTATGTAAAATTGGATATTCATTGATCAGCAAACAATTTAAGTTCTATCCAAATAATGCGGTATAATTTTCAGTAAAACAAACTTACTGATTCAACTGCATAGCATGGGACCATCAATATCACTCCTATTAAAAACTTTTGCTCCTGTCAGGCAACCCAAAAAGAATGTAAACAGAAGTAAACAAATAAAAGGAGTAAGCATGTTGATCGCAAGAAAATGCTGTGAATTATGAAGCGGATGGAGAAAAAAAAAAACCTCAGGATTCTTGTATGCCAAAAGATGCTCAAATAAGAGGTAGATTGAGAGCGTCAGAGTAAGCAGAACAAAGGTACCAGCAAGTAGAGTTGCCCATGTCTGTGTTGAGAATGTCACAGTGACAGGATTGAAATAAGTTGTTATCTTCATCAGCTACGTCAACTTGTAATTGGCTATATTCTCAGGATAACCAGAATAACGGAATGACATTCCAAGTATTTACATCCGGAGACAAATCAAAAGGCCGATGGAGGTAAAGCCCTGTGGACCTGTGACAAGCATGACCTATGGTCAGGATGACCTAAGGGTTGGAAACGTCAGATTTGTTTCTTACCTTTACAATAGTATAAATATCAGAAATAATTAGCAACTCTATTTACAAATTAGTAACTACCCTCTTCTCAAATCATGCCAAACACTACAGTCACTTAGAAATTTATTTTGGCACTTTAATATTAACAAAATTTTACATTTATGCCAAACAAAACCATAAGAGTTGAGGTTGCCCTATTTTTAAACCTACAACTCAACAATATAGTACCATTTTTTAAGTGGATAAGAACAATTTCGACTTGTCATGAGATAACTTTTAACATAAACTTATTCTAGTTAAAAATGTTTCAAGTAAGTTCGAGAGTGTTTATTTTAGAACTTATTTTAAGTTTTAATGAAGATAACTTTGACGTACTAAAACTAACAATTCAGTATCTCATGAAATAGAAGAGAGAGAGAGAGAGAGAGAGAGAGAGAGAGAGAGAGAGAGATGCCACAGAAAGTAATAATTTGGAAAGATTAGAAAAAGTGTGATCTCATCACGGCAGTTTTTAGGTTAATTGAGAGAGATGAATGAGCTGTCTTCTAGGTATAGACATGCTTGGAAGCCATTAGATGGTAGTGAACTGCTTTAAAGAAGTCTCAGGTGCAGTGGGGAGAGGGGGTTCCACTGGAAACATCCAGGTTGGAGAATGCTGCTACTGTAACTTCCTTAAAGACACTAATAGTGGGGAATCTGTCGAAGTTGGAGAGAGATCACAGATTAACAGGAGAAGGTGGTCTGTGACTTTATCTGAACAGAACCTTGACGAGAGTGATTGAAGGTGGCTGCAGCTTTCAGCCAATTTGCCTATGCTAGGAATATACCTCTCTAGGAATCATTACACCTATAGAGCTATCAATGGTGTGGATAATTTTGAAGAAGCTGTGAAGATATATGGGAAGTCAAGAATCATAGATCAAATATCCTTGGGAGCTGGGGATTCTTTTGATGTGGATCAAGTGGATGCTTAAGGGAATGGATGAGAAGATTGGAAATCATTCTCTCTCTTATCCATTTTCCATCCTTACACATAGTTTTTTATTGTTATTCTTAGGGCGCATGCGCCAGTGTAAAATTCGGAAAGGTTTGAGGTTTGCGAGGATCTGACGGGGTTAAGAAAATAGGTGAATAACCCATAGCACACTAGAGTCAACTTTTAAAGTAACTCCTTATCCGAGGGAGAAACTACGATGCGAGAGGATATCAGCAGCTACTAGTGAGTTCTCTAATTTTATTGAGGAAAATGATCTTTGAACATCCTATTGGAAGATGTAAAGTCTATCTTGGAGAATATCATCATAGGAGTGAGTTCTCTAGTTTTATTAAGGAGAATGATATTTAAACGTTATGTTGGAAGATGCAAAGTCTATGTTAGAGAATATCATCATAGGAGTGATTCAAGACTTTAATAGAATATTGATTGGAGTGGTTCATAAGATTGATTTTAGGAATCCTCCATCAATATATTTTCAAATTTATCACACTTTTCTGTTCTTTCACCTATAAATTTTGTAAAGAAAATTAGGAGAGAGTATAATGAAAGGGATGTAGCCCTCTGGCCTTTGTGTGCTGTGAATGTAGGCCGTAGTGGCCGAACCACATTATATTCTTGCGTTGTCCATGCTTAATTTCTCTATTCAATCGTTTGTTTTTCAGCATGGTATCAGAGCAGGTTTATCATACCTCACTCTAGACTAGTTCAGCGATCCTCTTCTCGCTCAAATTCTGTGATCGGATTTACTCATCTCGGATATCAATATTGTTGGTTAGTTGTCACATTTTGATCAAGTGTTGTTTGGGATTGTGTTCTTCACTATTACAGGCCCAATTATAGTTCACTCTTGACAACTTTGTATTTATTTTCAAGTTGGTACACTTGAGTTAAAATCTCTGTTGAGGGGGGAGTATTAGACAATATCATTGTAAGAGTAATTTATAACTTTGATAAAATATTGATTAGAATGATTCATGGGATTTATTTTACTCCATCAATATATTTTCCATATTTATCACATGTTTGTATTCTTTACCAATAAATAGAGGTGATCATTGTAAACAAAATTAAGAAAGAATATAATGAAAAAGATGTAGCCCTTAGGGTTTTGTGTGCCGTGGATGTAGGCCGTAGTGGCCGAACCACATTATATTTTTGTGTTGTTTATGCAATCATGCTTAATTTCTCGCTTCAATCTTTTCCACAAGTAGGTAATGAGCCTTTACCAATAATCCTTTGATTGCTATTTGAAAAGGAGTATGGACTTGCACTCAATATCCCATCTGCAATTATGTCTCCATACCATTCCCTATCTCTTTCCTATCGTGCCTTTGTGTCTTCCTTGTTTTCAATTTCTCTTCCGCAGGGATGGAAAGAAACCCTTGTTGATCCCAAGTGGAAAAATGCTATGATAAGGGAAATGAAAGCACCTGGAAAAAAAAAAAAATGAAACATGGGAATTGGTCTCTCTTCTTAAGGGAAACAGGACCAATGGCCCACAAGGTATTTACTATCAAGCCAAAGGTGAATGGGATGTTTGACAGATACAAGGCAAGGCTAGTTGTCGAGGGTTTCACTCAGACGTGGTAGGATTTGCCAAGATGAATTCTACTTGAGGTTCTTCTATCATGTGTTAGTTATATGCTAGCATACTATAATTGTTAGAATAAACATGAAAAAAGAGTTTCACGTACTTGGACATTTTTTAAAAGGGAGTTGAAATATAATGAGCAAATCCTCCCACTTTTTCATTTGATTTTTAAACTAAAAATGTACGGAGTACAACATTTAATAAACCATAAAATTACTTGTTAGTCGTAATTTTATGTAAGAAAATATTCGCCACTTTCTATGTCAATGGCGAGAAATTATTGGGTACCCCGGGGGTAGCGGTTACTAAATACCCCCACCCAAGTTCCTATTATTAAGGGAAAGATGATTTTTTGATTGGGTGGGGTATTTAGTAACCGCTATCCCCAAGGTACCCAATATTTTTCCGTAAATGGCATAACTACAATTATACGTACCCTTTTCTACCAAATAATAATAATAAATATAAATTATTACTTTAATATAAATATACATATATATTAATTTATATGCACATATAAAATATGAACACACGTGTATATTTTGATTGGGTGAGGTATTTAGTAACCGCCACCCCCGGGGTACCCAATATTTTTCCGTAAATGGCATAACTACAATTATACTTACCCTTTTTACCAAATAATAATAATAAATATAAATTATTTTTTTTGATAAACATATAATAAATATAAATTATTACTTTAATATAAATATATATATATTAATTTATATGCACATATAAAATGTGAACACACGTGTATATTGCCATGTCTTCACTGCATCCTTTTTTTAAGAATTTGTCATATCCCTGTATCCATATTGTGTCTGAGTCCTACCATGCATCCTTCCAAAAGTATCCCCTTTTGCTTGGACCACCATTTTGGAAGCTATTTTAACAATAAACAATCTGACATTGACAAGGAGAAACCCCAAATTGATATTATATGTGCAAGAATGACACGTGGAGCAGTCAGAACTACTAATCTCCTTCTTCGATGTCCATTGTTCTCCATCTTTGTTGATTTTTTAGGTTATGCCTTGACCAAAGTGTGAGTTGTAGGAATGTGGGTTTGGTGTTTGTGTATCTAAAGAAGTCCATACAACCTGGCAGGCATAATTTTTATATTTACAACAGAAAAGTTGTACTATTAAGGATGTTAGAGCTTTTAATTCATAGGCTTAAAGATGGATGTTATCTACTTCTCTCTTGTTCTTTTTCTTTTTTTCAATTCTGGCATTCACCGGATTCTTTATACTCCTTAATAGATTCTACAGTTCATTTGAGTTGTCCAGTGGGAGCTTAGATTATATGCGCCTGCACACTGTGTACATTGGTTGCACCCCTTCTGGTGTGCTTACTTATAATAGACATTTATGTATCAAATAACCATGTCATGATTTTTATCAACCGTAGCATTTCTTTGATGAAGCTCTTATCACATATAATACTTGCAAATACCTAACCTATCGTGCCATGTCACACTGCAAAGAATAGCATCCTGAAACTATTTTTTTCAATTACAGGGCTGTGGAAGGGAAGAGGCACAATAAAATACCAAGATAATGAATGCAATATTGAATTTCAAGTAAAATAACAAGAAATGTTATGATTGAATTGTATGATCAGAGAGCAGACCTAATTTTGAACAAATTAAGACAGCTAAACAAACAACTGATCAAGAAAAATTGAATAATTGAGTAGTAACAATCTCAGATAGCAGTGAGTTCGGGTGAATATTACTATACTGGTAAACCCTTTTAATCAGAAATAATATTATATGAATAGAGATGTTCAGCCATACAAAAGAGAAAATTGAAATGCTAGAATCACATACTCAAAACTTTAAACTTACGAGAGATGGAAAAAAGGAAAGCAGTTAATCATTAGCTACCAAACTCCAATACCCAGCTGTCCCTGCAAACCATCCGCATGGAGAACACAAATCACAACACAAGTAATCTGAGAGAGCCATGTGAAATTAAAATTTTAGCTGGAGGAAATATATATATATATATATATATATATATATATATATATAACAGTAGGATAAATCATAAAATTAAAATATGTCCCAAGTTGCCCTAATCATGAATAATTGAAAAACTTATCACAACGAATCCCAAAGAGTTGAATTTGGTTCATTTGAGTTAAAGTTTCTTAATTAAGAGGTCTCAGGTTCAATTTTTTCCCTACATCTTCCAAGCAACCAAACAACTCAGCTACATCGCAAACCGTGAATGTAAGGAAGGAGAAGAATGAATCGAGTTACTGAAAGCTAACCTGATCGGATATGGCAACGCCAATTGATCGGAAAGAATAAGGAAAGAGTTACGTAGCTAGCAAATACAAGGAGAATTCTGACTGAATAAGAAAGCCCTAGATTTTAGGGCTGCGAGTGGGGTTAGTCGTGTTGGGAATGCCCGTGCTCAACCCAAGTTTTAGTAGGCTTCGGCCAAGCCCAACCCAGTCCAACACACCCACCCGTTTGTCAAGGCTGTATCAAAAAAAAATTTATTTTTTAATTTCATTAACTCACCCACCGTTTTGTCTCACTTGACTCTTTCCTTTCACTTTGAAAAATTCAAATCCTAGGACACACAATCTTAAATTTGTATCGCTTCTTATAGGACCAATAATTTAATTAGTTAAATGAATATTTTGTCTACCTACGTAACTATATATGTTTGATGAAGGGTTACCATTAAGATTTTTTTCATATAGTACAAAAAATATGTATGAAAATTATTTGTGAAATTCTGTTGTAATTAACAAGCATTGTTCATGCAAAAATATCGTCGTTACTAGAGGTAGAGCCAGAATTTTAATTTAGAGAGGGCACAATTTTTTAAAAAAAAAAAAATTCAACTAACATTGATATAACACGCAAAAGAAATTAGAGTATGATTCAAAAAGGCAAATTTGATTTTTTTTTTTTTAAAGAAATTTAAAGAATAAAAGAAAGAAAAAGTTAAGATAATTTTAGAAATTAAAAATTTAGAGGCACAAATAGAACGATATATAATTTTTTATATATACTAAAAAAAAATCACAAATTAACTATATGGGCCAGGTCAGGCACTAGGCCTTAATTGGCTCTGCCTATGGTCGGTACTGGTCTTTCTTTTCTAATACCTAGCATAAATTACTCGTAACTATCTTGAATAATGATACTTTCTTTTTCTTGTTATAAAAAAATCTAGTAAAGATATGTTCCGTTTCTTGGTGCCTTGAAATTAAAAGATTTTTTTTTTTTAACTCTTATTTATTTTAGGAGAAGTGGCACAAAAAAAGAAAAAAAACTTAATTCCTAGGAACTCACATGTAACTAGAGCACAAAATCCACGCACTCTTTACTATAAAGAGTGCGTGGAAATAAAAACCCAGCTTAATTAATACCCCAGCTTACCATCAGTTTGTTAATTGTATTTGTTTTGTATTTTAAATTTAATATGAAGAAAAAAATGTTTTTGGTGTAGTGTGATTTATTCTGAAATAAAAACATATTTGATAACTGTTTTAGATGATTGTAAAAATAAATAATAACTAGAATTTATATTATATTCTGTTTTTTTTAAAAGAAAAAAATTATTTACAATTACTCCGTATTTAGTTACCGAAAGATAAATAAAAATAAATTTGTCACTTATAAAACCGTTTTCAACAGTTTATTAAACATAACATTGTTTTAGAATTCTTTATATGACTTTTTATAATTGAGTTTTTATAAAATAATTCTTAAAAAATTAAAAAAAAAATTATATAATTTATTAATTTTCAGTTATCTAGAAACAAAAAATATATACTTTATAAACTACAACAAACGCTTTCAGATTTGAGTTTTTTTTTTTTTTTTGGTCTTTTTCAAAGATAAATGTGTTGCTGTGAAAAAAAAAAAAAAAAAGATGCAAAAGCGGAGGTCAAACAACAAGCCCTTCCGTATTTATAACTTATAAGCAACAATTGAACGTATTCTGTAGCAGCAAATATGAACTGAAACATTAAAATGATCCTTCCAACTCCAACGGCCAAAAACTACCATGGGTTCATACTCTTCAAACTATCTCCGCTTGCTTTCTTACACTAAGCTCTTAACCTCTCACGTCAACCAAGGTCGCCATGAGCAAGCCATCTCTCTCTTCCATCACATTCACTCCACCCTAGCTCTCGACTCATTCGTCTTCCCTCTTGCTCTCAAGTCCTGCGCCGCCATCCACCGCCCTCAGCTCGGCACAGCCATTCACGGACACGCAGCGAAAGCTTCTCTGCTCTCAAACCCATTTGTCGCCTGCGCTCTTGTGGATATGTATGGTAAATGCGGCTCGCTTTCCCTGGCACGCAAACTGTTCGATGAAATTCCCGAGAGAAACGTTGTTGTGTGGAATTCCATGATTTCGCTTTACACCCATTCTAATGATTTGCCCAAGGCTTTGCAGTTGTTTGAATGTATCAATGTTACACCAAACGCATCGACATTTAATTCAATTATAGGCGGTTTATCGGAAATGGAAGATGGGTCGTTTAAGGCTATTATGTTCTATAGACGAATGCAAAATATGGGATTGAAGCCAAATTTGATTACAGTTCTTGCTTTGCTATCCTCATGTGTAGGCATAGCAGCTTTGAATTTGATTAAAGAAATTCATGGTTACTCCATTAGGAACGACATTGATCCTCACCCACAATTGAGGAGTGGCTTAGTAGAAGCATATGGAAGATGTGGGTGTCTTGAGAATGCACGTTTTGTGTTTCAAAGTATGAGGGAGAGGGATGTAGTTGCGTGGAGCAGCTTGATATCAGCCTATGCACTTCATGGGGAGGCAAGGGCTGCTCTGGAAATCTTTGGACAAATGGAATTGGCGGAAGTAAAGCCCGACGGGATCACTTTTCTCGGGGTGTTGAAAGCTTGCAGCCATTCAGGATTTGCCGATGAAGCCAGGATGTACTTTGCTCGAATGCGTGATGATTATGGCGTGGAACCGAGCAGTAATCACTATTCGTGCTTGGTGGATGTTTTGAGTAGAGCGGGAAGATTATACGAGGCATATGAAGTCATACGAGATATGCCAGTGAAGGTAACTGCAAAAGCTTGGGGTGCCCTTCTTGGTGCTTGTAGTACTTATGGGGAGTTGGAGCTTGCAGAGATAGCCGGTAGAGCTTTGCTTGAGATAGAGCCTGACAATGCTGCCAATTATGTATTGTTGGCTAGGATTTATGCAAGTGCAGGAAGACATGAAGAAGCCCAGAGAATGAGACGAGAAATGGAGGAGAAGGGAGTGAAGACAGCACCAGGTAGTAGTTGGGTTATATATCAAGATTGATGTTAATAATGGAGTGCTGCGTGATTCCCGGGCATGTGACAATAACCTCGAAGATACATCTGGAGATTGACAGTTCTGGTTTATTAGTTGTGATGATCAAAGAGTTGGCAAAAGCCAAAACATGATCTATAACAGTCACAGGATTGAGATGACTATTAAGAGTGACTTGCTTGAATGTGTCATATGGAACAAATGTATGAGTCAGTCTTTTGTGTTTGGAACATGAGGCCCACTAATCAAATCTACAATGCTGGAAAAATTCATTGGGGGATTGTTTCTACCACTCTGGACAATGTGAAGCATTGTGACCCCTTATTCTTGTACAGTGTGTATTTGCGGTTTCAAAGCTATTTGTCTTATACCTACTAATCTTTTAGGAGATCATTTTTGTACTACTATTTGGATTGTCAAATATTATGAATTTTTGAAATGAAATGCATTCCCACTATGAAGTTAAAAAGTTTCAAAAATTAGCAATTGGATCACTGATCATCTTCTATTATGTTCAAGGATCTCAATGGCCATTAGGAGCATTAAATTTCGTGCTTCTAAATTTCGTGCTCCAATCACAATGGAACTATTCAGTTCAGTTTTGTGTAAATTGTTCTAAAAAATATCACAAAACTATTTTTCTTTGTTTTCCAACTATAATTATAAAAATAAAAATAAAAAAAAAAAAACAACTAAAATGTAAAACTGTGGTTAGAAAACTGAATTAAACAAGTTCAGTATATCTCTAATGTACCAAAATTTGACAATGGGTTTTAAACTAATCACAATGGTAAACCTAATTTGAGATTAGATATATATACTAGTAAAAATCAGGTGCGATGCACGTAATCAAAAGTTACTTTATAATTTTAATAAAAAAATTATAGAGAATTATCAAAATAAATTTTATTTTAAAATAATTAATTAGTAACTTGTTTGAGTAATTACAATTTTAAATATTAATGAAATCAAATGTATTGTTTTTTTTTTTTTTTTGCATAATCATGAATCATGAGCAACAAATAATATTATAAGAGTAAAGATTAAAATTGAAGGAGTTACAAATTTTTACTTAAGTAATTATTAACTACGATATAAATACTAAGTTTAGATAAATATTAAAATTCATAGTTTTAAACCATTAGTCATAATTGCAAATCATAAGTGTATAAAATAATTCTAACTACTTTTTTGACTTTGGATGTGAAGCTTTAATAGATTTTTTTTTTTTTTTTGCTTGGACAATGTAGCTCTAGCGGACATTTTATCACAATATAAGTTTAACAATTGAGTGATATTGGTGTCGATAATTTAAACCCACTATTTGTGAATGTTGAATCGTGAATAGCTGAAAAAATGGAGTATGAGACAAATATTGTGAAAAAATCACCAATATAATTGAATTTGTGACTTTGTGTAATTTGATTTCTACATATAAAATGCAATTGGGATAGTATGAATCCTTTCTTTGATTAGGGGAAAATTCTATTTCAAATATAATTATTGATTAAAATTTTCATATAAACTATATATACATCAAATTTAAAAAACAAAAGTTCGGACACAAAAAATTTGAAGGATATTGAAAAGAAATATATTGATTTTAGTGAACTATATTTTATTTAGTGAGAGATTAAACTTGTAACGGTATAAAATAACATTACTTTTGGGATTAAATTAAGTAAAGTCATATAGAAATAAATAAAAACTTATGTCATATTATAAAAATCTATATTTCCTTTTTAGTAAGGTAAGTTTATACTAATTCCTTGGTGAATGGAAAAATCAATGAGAAAAGAAAAATTGAGAGATACCTAGTATTATTTATTTTTATGTAAAATGTATAAATTGGTTATGTATTAAATTATGGGAAATAATTTATAAAGAATTCTATTAAACTTTAATATGAATTCAATTATTAAACATTTTAATAGAATTTCATTATTAAACTTTTTATATATTTCCTTGTTTAATTAGATAAACTAAATTATTTATTTTCTTTATATATTTCCTTGCCTAATTCGGTTTCCTTTTATTAAAAAAACTCATAATAAATAGGTGATTTGAGTTTTATATAAATTCTTATGAAAATCTTATATTAATTTAAAAATAAAAACTCATAATAAATAGGTAATTTGTGTTAGAATTTTAAAGAGATAAAAATATTAATTATTAATTAAACTTTGTAATTGGAATTCAATTTTTAAACTTTTTAATAGGAATTCATTATTAAACTTTTTATATATTTTCTTGTCTAATTAGGTGAAAAAAATTATAATCCAAAGTAAACTTATAAAGAGTAAAATAAAAATAAAAACTAAAGAAAAAAGAAGAATTATACTTCTGAAAAATAAAAAGTAAAGAATAAAAAATAAGAATAACGACTGAACCAAAAATAAAAAATAAAGAAAAAAAGAGAAAAAATCACAATCCAAAGTAAACTTACTAAACAAACCACTTCTAAACATCAATTAGAAAGAGAAAAATAAAAATAAAAATAAAACAAATCAACTGCTTCTAAACATCAATTTCAAAAATAAAAAAAAAAAAAAACTGAACAAAAGATTAACATATTAAAAAAATTCAGTAACAAATTTAATTCAAAATCAAGTTCAACCCAAACTCAAAAAACATTGAAAAACTGACTCAAAATATTAAATTAAGAATGAACCACAAATAAAAAATAAAAAATGGAGAAAAAAATTACAATCCAAAGTAAACTTACAAAGAGTAAAATAAAAATAAAAACTAAATAAAAAAGAAGAATGATACTTCTGAAAAATAAAAAGTAAAAAAAAAAAAAATACCAGCAACGACTCATAATAATGATAAATTAAGAATGAACCAAAAATAAAAAAGATGAAAAAATGAAAGAGAAAAAGTCACAATCCAAAGTAAACTTACCAAATCAACCACTTCTAAACATCAATTATAAATAGAAAAATAAAAATAAAACAAATCAACTACTTCTAATCATCAACTAGAAAGAGAAAAATAAAAATAAAAAAAGAAAAAAAAGAAAAGAAATAATAATGCTTCTAAAAAGAAAAAGTAAAGAAAAAAAAAATTAACAATCCAATTTAAACTTACCAGATCAACAACAACTATTGATGTCTTCTCAATACCAATTATAATGATAATATTTCCTTGTCTAATTAGATTTTCTTTTTAATATTGTTTGATTTTCTTTAAATATTTATTTGTCTAATTATATTTCCTTTTATTAAAAAACTCATAATATCACACCTTATTTATTTTTATAATTCATAATAAATAGGTAATTTGAATTTTATAGAAACTCTTATTATTTCTAATTAATTAATTTATTTAAAAACTCGTAATATCTAAACACCTTATTTCCTTCTATTAAAAAACTCATAATAAATAATTAATTTGAGTAACTCTTCTAAACACTTTATATTAATTAAAAAAATAAAACTCATGATAAATAGATAATTTGTGTTAAAGTTTTATAGATCTCTTTTAAAAATTCATTTTATATCAATTAATAAATTTTTTTATATTAATAAATAAATATTAAAATACTAAAAATCTTTACATTTTTAATAATCGTATATTGATATATATATATATATTTCATAGGTAATAAACTGAAACACTCATACATATAATGATTATGAAAAAGAGGAGGGGGATAAAGAGTGTTCTGTTCCCGAATACGATATACGAGATCTCTTTTTCTCATGTTACCAAACCGAGCCCTATACACGAGTAAGGTCCCAAAGCATATTACTCTATATGGTATGATGGATCAGGTCTCACCGTCTCACCATTGAATTCACCGAAAATGGCCGCTAAACCTCTGTAACCTTGAACCATGTCTATGTCATTGTCTTCTACACTTTGCTCTCTAATTATTCTGTAAGTTTGAACCATGTCGATGGCATTGTCTTCTACTATATGCTCTCCAATCCCATCCCTCAAACCTCCTCAGTTTTCCTTCAAACTCTCCTCACTGAAACTTATCTCCACTCCAATTTGTTCCCATATCATTCCGTTTCGCTCTTCTCCAGTCAGAATACAATCGTTAAAACCTGAGTACACCCGTAATTTGTTAGGGTTTTGTGGTAAACAGTCTGGGTTTTTATTGGGTAGGAAGTTAGGGTTTCGTGTAAGTGCAGAGAATGGAGACGGAGAGAGTAAGAGTGTGGTGGACGAAGCTGAAGAAGAGGCGCGAGGGCAGAGCACTATGCCTGAACGGTTCAGGTACTTGACTAAGGAAGCCCCAGACCTTCCTATAAGGTGGCCTTTGCTCATAGGTATCACTTCTATTTAAAACTAAACACGCGTTTTTGTATGTGTTTATGTATGTGTTTACGTGTACATTGATAGATTGAGATTGGTGCGGAATTATCTATTTATGTGTTTTATGCTAGATTGAGATTGGTGCGGAATTATCTATTTATGTGTTTTATGCTTGATTATTAGCTTAAATCTTTTAGCTGCTTAGCTTTTGCACACAAAGCACTGGAAAAATTAAATTGTGTTACATTTAGAGCAAATTCAAATAGTTGGTGATTGATGTTGGGTTTGGGTACTATTGTGATATGGTTTGGCTGAATACTTGTAAACCCAAAAAATATATAGAATCTGTTGGGCTATTTATTATGCAAGTGTGCTGAATTCAAGGTCTATCAAATAAAAGCCCTGATTTGGTCACCGTCTATTCTTCATCTTCCTTTTGTATTTTCTATTGGTACATTGGCCAAGAGTAAGCAAGCCACAGTCATATCAACGTATATGGGTTCACTAATGGGAGAAAACTTCAATCTTTGCTATAGGTAAGGAGTACAGTTTTGCTAATTTAGTTCTTCTCTATAATGAAATGTTCAGCTTAGTTCTTCTCTATAATGAAATGTTCAGCTTAGTTCTTCTCTATAATGAAATGTTCAGCCCCTTCCCAAGTGGAAGAGAAGCTTTGTCTTGTGTCCGGGTTTTAGGGCTGAATGATGTAGAGTAGTGTAGGTCGGATTTTCCAAACCCTATTAGATCCCGAATCATCTTGAACAAATGGTGGAAGGTTAACTTGCCCAAGGCAAAGAGAACTTTTGGAGGCAAGTTGGTGTTTGTGATACTATCTTGTTTAAACTAAAATGTTCGACTCTTCTTTGCCCTCTTCTTTTGGCCAAATCCAATTAACGTCTTCCACATTGAATGTGGAATGATAAACCCACTCATTCTAAATGAAGCCATTGTAATAGGTCTTAGGCCTCATTGTAATAGGATCTCTATCTTTCCCCATAACCCTGGGGCTATGTCTCGAAGTTGTGTCTTGATCTCATATGTACAAAATCTAAGGGTCTAGTTCCTATGGAGATTCCCCTTGGTCTAATTCCACACCTTATACCCAACTAATGGCTAGCTCCCTTTATTCTCCCATGATTGCCGGGACTTGGTAACCATTAGCATGAAATTTTGTAATGTTGAGGGGGACTCTTCTAGCCTTTTAAATTCTAATTGCAAGCACGCATCAAAATTGGCCCAATTCTGTCATCTCATGCCAATGCTCCTTTTTTGTTTGATAAACAACCGTTAAAGGAATATTTATAAAAAAAAAAAAAAGCAACCGTTAAAGGAACAACCTATTTTACAAGGACTGGTGTACTAGTGTTGGGTGCAGGGCCTGGATGCATTTTTTTTTTTCCTAGTCGATACTCACACACACCCTCCTCAAGGAAGTGCTGGCACCCAAGAGGATTCGAACCCAAGAGAGCATAGCTAAATTTTCATATTATTTATTTATTTAATATTCTTCTTTTATTTTCTGAGCACTTCATTTGTTTTGAAACAATAGTGTAATAAACACTAATCCGTGATTGACTAGCATAAATTAGGCAGGTTGAACCTACTAAAGGATGTAACTGATTTTTTAATTTTATTTTAGTACTCTAATCACATTTATATAATCGACTGATTCAGGATATAGATCTTACCCAATTAGTCGTGAAAAATGTTGTTTAGCATACAATAAAAATATTTTTACCAATTAAACATTGGGCTCAACCTTTGAAGTGCTAAGGTTTCACTGTCTATTGGAGGTTTGTAGCAAGAATATCCTTGATTGACCTATGCTACTAACAATCCTATCACCCTTGGGGTATCAAGTGGCTAGGTCTAGAAACAGGTGCAGAGCCAGGAATTCGATTTAAAAAATAATAATAATAATAAATTTCTTACTAAGCAAGGATACATGAGCACAAGGAGAAGAAAAATTGAAGAAGAAAAAACGAAAAACACAGAAGAAGAAAAAAAAAGAAAGAGAGAGAGAGAGAGAGAGAGAGAGAGAGAACTATGAAAGGGAATAACAAATTAGGGTTTGGTTGAAGAAACAGAATGTGATTTATTTGAAGAGAATAAAATATAAAAATAAAAATAAATTTTTTTTGAAGAAGTAGAGTAAGAATGAAAGAATTAGAGAAATTTTGGAAAAAGATAACTTTAGGGGGGCATTGTGTCAAATTATATACATATATTTACATAAATAATTTATTTTAATGGCCCAGCATGGGCCCAGGGGGCAGCTGCCCCGCTCCCCCCCTGGTCTGTGCTGGGCCCATCCCTGACTAGAAATAGATCGAGTTGTTCATAAGTAGCTCAGGTTTGGCTCATATTTATCCATTAAGGGAATGAGTCAAGCTTGAGTATCAACTACTAGTTTGTTTATTGAACATGTTGAGTTTGCATTATGGTATTCTGTAAACTTGTGACACACAAATAATAGTTTTATTTTTTTGTTTCCCGGTGGGGTACTTTTGAACAATTTCTGACCTATTTATCAAAAAACAAATTAATAAATTTGATAAAATATAATAAAAATTGAAAAATAATTTTTTTTTTTTTTGACAAGTAAGAAATTTATAAAAAGCACTCAAAAGGGAAGCGCATCCCAAGGGAACAAAAACAGGCCAAAACAGCCATTACACTTTTAAAGAGGCCAAAAAATCAACTATTTCATCTAAAGATCTATAATCTCTACCTGAGACCCAACAAAAAAGAGTGGAAACAATAGAGAACTTAAGAAAAGAAATAGGCCTCTCCTTCCCCTCAAAATATCTCCTATTCCTCAAAATTGAAAAATAATATGTTTACGAGTTAACAAGTTGAGGCTAGTCTACTCATGAACAACTTGAGTGGAGCTTGAGCTAGCTTTCTTAGCTTGTCACGAGCCCATGTTTATCCACACACACACACACTGGGAAAAAAAAAATGAGTGCATAGCTCGGCTTGATTCAGTTATTTGAAACCCTAAACCAATGGCGCATATAGGGGGTCATAAGTTCCAAAAATCATGTTATGCTCTTGTATCAGGAAACTCTAGCTTTAGCTTTTGTGCCTTTCAGGGTTATCTATGACACAAGATGAGGGCTCCTGATGATGAAAATGGATGTACAAGTTTCATGCTTGTTGAGTTTAGCCATGAGATATCAAAGTCAATCAGATTTTTTGCCTTCATATTTCAATTCAAGCATTTATAAATTAATCTCTTGTGACTTCTTTGTCTTTTTTTTTTGGTCAAATGGTGCCAGTTTCCTTGCTGGACTTGCTTGAGTTGTCTATCATTCTTCTAAGCAAGGTTTTTCACCAGGGCAGAATGAAAACTGAAGCATGCCTCTGACGTTTCTTTGTTTATTATCAATAACTTGTAGTGCTGCCTTTCCTCATCTATGCCTGGAGAACGGTATTGTGGGAGCTGTCCAACTGGAAAAAGGCTGTAGTGGGTATTGTCCACTTCATAGGATACCTCTTGAAACTTGCATTGGCTTTTATTTTCCATTTCATAGGTGGCCCAATCACTTCTCTAATCAGGGGTGTCGAGATTACAATCTACACCATTCAAGATTTTTGCTCAGCTGTGATAGCATATGTTCCTTTCCGAGAGCTGACTTTGATAATCTTGTTGGCATCTGCTGTATTTGCCATTGCTGAAGACAGTGTCCCGGATTCTGTACACAGCCAACCATATATTCTTGCAGTAGCTGGTCTAATTGGCTTTGCAGCTGTGAGAAGCTTCATATCTGAGATTTTCTTCTGGATGCTTCTATTGGGTTTATTTAGTTTTGCTCGGTTCATTAAAAAGAGAGATTATGTTTCTTCTGCGTTGCCTGTTGCTGCTGTGCTGGCTGCCATTGGAGAGCCTTGGGTTAGAGTTGTAGTGATAGTCTCATATCTGATGTTGGCTATTAATCACAGTTCAAAGAAGTTACCAGAAGGTAAAGGCAAAGGTGAAGCTGATGCAACAGGTAGGAAGTTTCCCATTCCAGTGATCTGTACGGCCTACGTGTTGCTGCTAAGTGGGCTGGGTATTGCCATTTGACTTGGCTGGTAACGTGACCAGCAGAGTGAATGTCCCTGTTATCCCAAGGCAAATAACCTTTTTTGCGCCTGTTGGATTGTAAAGGCAGTGAGTGCCTGCCTTGTGTGAAGCTAACTGGAAGTAAAAAACACGAGGTGGCAATTGAAATTTTGTCATCTTTATTTCTTCCGCTAGTCTCTTGCAGGTTCTAAGAATGCCTTTCTGGTTATATGAGTGATTTTTATACGAGCCCTGGATCCGGCATGCTGCCGCCTTCAGCCCAACATAACCTGGATCTAGAATTTTCTCATGAAATTTAATTGGCATTTCGTTCTTGCTCTGCCTAATTTTCTGTGTATTACTTCATTAGAGGCTAAGCACCTGTGTTTGTACTCTTAGACGAGTAAAAAACATGTAATTTGGGTTCATCTAAATCAGATTCTACGTGGCATGGTATGGGTAGGAGAGGGATAGAATTAGGAGACAGATTGTCAAATTTCAATAAGATTTTGATTGATCTTCAGATTTGATGCATTCAATTTTTCAGTTAATAGGATGGCAAAAACTCATCGTACCCATTCTTGGTATAATCTGTCCAAGCTAGCGTCAAGAAAGAGTTGGCATGATTAGGAGGGGGAAACATCTCTTTGTATTTGGAACTTTAGAGTAAAGAAAGGGTGAGATGGTACTAGCCTTTTATTTTGTTAAGAAAATTTAGTACCTAAAAAAAAAAAAATTGAATTATTGTGTAGGTGATATTTGATAAGGTCAAATTTAGAATTGTCCCTTTTTTAAAAAAAAGAAAAAAGAATGGATGCATTACTCTCTTCTTCAAGTGAATAACGTGTGAAATTCTTAATTTCATATGTCACTGGTTTTCAATATCTGATATCTTGAGTGTTTCAGCTTTACTTGGACGGACATGATTTTTTAGGCACAATTAACAAATTTCTGATAATAAATAAATTATTAGGAATTCCGAGATGTTCAATAATATGGCACTTGGTTAAATAAATACTCACTATTCTCTTGTTTACAAATATTAATTATTCCCTCTAAAATGTGGCCATTTTATGAGGAGATGGTGGCAACATGGTTTGATAATACTTGACATTTGGAATCAGAATCTCTCCTCCGTGTATATTTTGATTTGATACTTTCAAAAATTAAAATACATTTAAATTAACAACAATAAATCAATAATGCAACAACAATATAAAATTATGCATTTTCGTTTTTATAGTTTCGCAATAATATATTGCTTGATTGTCTTTGCAGAACTTGCAGGCTCAAAATGGTAGTCTATTCCACTGTGGTTGGACCCAAAGTATACGGGTTAGGATCCGGATCGGGTCCGGGTCGAGACATTGGTACTACATTAACCCCCTCCTAATTTACCGCGAGGATTTTAATCTTTTAATCCAAGAAAAGAAGCTAGGGTTTTCTTTTGGCCTCTATAAATAAAACCAAACCTCTTCTTTTCTATTGCAATTCCTCCTCAATATAGTCTCTTTTGTGAGATCCCTAGGTAATCTAGGGTTTGTGGCCGCTTCTGTATCTCTATATGCCGTAAGATATAGTCCACCTTCTATCTTGTATTTTTTCTCTATTTTCTATGTGTTGCACGGTGCACCCCGGGCTTCTCTGAGTTTTGAAGTGACGAAGAATGCCCCAATGCTCGTGCTATAACGTCGCCGTTTTAGTGTTGCAGTTTTGCCTTGTACCTCTTTCCCACGGCTCATCTGTGTCAAATCAACGGCCAAATCTTGTTGTTTCTTCAAAAAATTAATCTTTTTAATTCAGTTATTTGCCTCCCCACACCTTTAGCTTTTTTTCTGAAAAAACAGTGAAAAAAGGTCTAGTCATAGAGGCATAGATTCATCTCGGCGGTGTTCACGTGGGGGTATAACTTTTTCTTAGTGTTTTACCTCTAAAATCATCCGCTAAATATTTTAATTTTCTCTTATTTTTCACCTCTTTTTTTCCTGTTGGTTTATTTGGTGCAGAGAACTAATATTGTTGGCTATGATTAGATGTTATCCGCGCTTCTGAGAGCAATCCATGAAGCATAAAAATAACAATGGTTGAATTTCTTAATATGAGCCGACTCTTTTGCATACCCATTTTTTTATAATTGCTTGTACTTCATTTTTTATTTAATTTTTATGATCGGCCGTGATGATTGATTATATACAGCTTAAAATGCCAGTTCTGCTTCTGAAAATCCTTGATTGATAGAGCTGTTAAATACTCTGAGCTTATTCATTTATGAAACTTATTAATTGCAGACATGTTGTGTGTTTACCTATATATGAAAATATCAGTGATAGATCTGTTATAATGGTTGAATTTTTTGGTTTTACTACTAGATGTTAGGGACATTAATGGGCTGTTACAATTGTTAATATACGTTAGATTCTATGTTTGTGATGTTCTACTGCTAGTGACGTTTCAATCCATGTTGTTTGAGGTGTAGATGAGCCAAGTTCCTGTTTTTCAGGGAGAGTCCACTTGGTTAAGCTACATTTCACATGATATTTGGATTTTACAGAGGCTTAAGATATTGATAGATTTGTTGCAATGGTTGAAATTTTTGGTTTTACTACTTGATGTTTAAACACACATGAATTGCAGTAGTGTATAAATTGGCCACTTGGTTAAGGTACTTTTGATATTGATATTATTGGATGCATAAATCTCTATCTGGAATAAATATGTAGTATATACTTTTAAATTTAAAAAATGTATAATAATTTGCCATGTATTATGCATAAATTTATAATAGTTTGAGCATATTATTGCCCTTTTAAATGAATGGTGAGTGTTGAGTTTCTTCTTTTGTTTTCACAAAATTGGGTTTAATAGTGTGCTTAATTCAATGTGTTAAAATTGATGAATATATAGTTGTGTAATGTTTTCTTGAGGTGTGGATTGGAAAAACTTTGTGATAGCTTTCTGGAAAGTTTGGCTAATGTGCTAAGAGTCAGGTTTGTATATTAATTGCTGGTTTCTCTTGGACATTGGTGGACTCATGATTTTAGTAAGCTACCTTGAAAAATTGAAATTCGTAATTGGTTTCGAAACTTTGCTGTATGATTTTGTAATGCCTGTGAGGATTTAATCCATTTGTATGAGGTGTAGTTGAGCCAAGTCCTTGTTTTTACAAGGAGAACCTACTTGGTTAAGCTACATTTCACATGATATTACTGGATTTTACTCAGGCATGAATTTATATATTTGCAATAAAATGTTGTTTATATTTCCTTATAATTTTAAATGTATACTGGAATTGCAACATTTCATTTTCATTTGTGATGTGTTACTGTATCAATTCTATTATTTCAATGATGTAAAATCCTTTTGTGATTGAGTTTCAGCCATAATGTTGCCCTTTTGAAATAAATAAATTGGCATCAGTCCTCAGTGTTTTCCATGACAATAAACTTGATATGCTGTTAACTTGTCTTATGTTTTAAATTGACAAATATGTTAGTTAAATATCTTTTGTGGTTTGGCTTGTACATTGTTTCAGGAGCATCTTTGTTTTATTTGTAGAGGGTTTTGTCAGTATTTGTAAAAGGTCTCTTTTGCTTCTCGTAGGCCTAAATTAATGGGGTTTTAGTTTTCGACTGCAAAATAGTTTCTTATTGATGTAAAAGATGACTTAGTTTTAAACAATGGTATTGTTCTAATATCGAAAGCTAGAATTCATTTTGGTGTTTATTTGGGTATATTGCTTTGACATTTTTATGGAAGTATTGAAATCTAGGTTGAGTGGCATCTTCTACATTGCTCAATTGTGGGGATGCGACAAATTATGCTTGGTACTTGGTACTCTTTCCGAGTAGAATTTGGATTATCAGTTATAACTGCCTTGCACTTTCATTTTATATTTTGAAAATGTATAATAATTTGGCATGTATTATGTATATATTTTTTCCCATTGCTCTTGAAGATTAAAAATTTATTTGAGGTTGAGTTTGCTCTTTTCTCAATTATGTGGATGCATCTAGATATGCAACGTTAGGTGATCAAACCAAAAAAACGTTTCTTGAACTGGTGGTTTATGTTGAAAACAGACCGTACTTTATAAAGCCTAACATAAAAGAACAATGTTAGCTGATAATTGAACAGCATATTGTTTTAATTTGTTAGACTTTTGTTATTTTTAACTAATATTTTCACTTCATCACTTTCAATATGAAAAAAGAACCATGTTGGATCTATTTCTGCCAACATAATAGTGTGTGATGCTTCAAACAAATTGAACTTAGTGTCATTGGGTTTCATTGTAAACCTGTTCCTCGAACCTAATGTTAAGCTTTTTGTTTAAGTACTAGGAAGAGATTTTTTTTTTTTTTTTTTTTTTTGAAAGGTAAAAATAGGAAAAGTAAATTTTACAATAATGGTCTTATGACCCAAAGCAAATCTGTGAAGCTCCTTCCCTCCTCTTGACTCTAGTTCACGTGCCTTCTTGTCCTGAAATGTATTTACTCTCCATGAATAAGGTTGTGGGAAGAGTTTCACTTATTTTTTTTTTTGTTACCTTGTTGTTTCTGAAGTGAATTTTACAGTTCCACCACCATAGTCAGTAGTATATCATCATCATTCAATAATCAAACTCACAAATTCACACATTCAATAATGAATTTCACCAAATGTCCAACTTCAAATTGAAATAGAAAGAACTTTTGTTCAAACTTTAAATGAAATTTTCTTCAATTTCAATTCCAATTAATCAATTCAATATTCCAAAATGCAACATTACTGTATATTTGTTGGTAAATTTACTTATACTAGAGAACTAAATTTATTTACTTATACAGAGAAGAACAAGATGTTTTTTAGAAAAAAAAATACTGGTATTATTTTTCTTTCAAAGAAACCTCTAAACAAAAACAAAGTTTTAGTAAAATGTACATGTATTAATTTTTTTTAAAGGTTTCTATTTTAATTTTGATAATTACTTTTTATTGTTATAGTATGTAATAATAGTAAAATTAAATATAGAAATTAAAAATAGTTAAAAGGAAAGGCCATAGGTGGGTTTGAAAAATAACCATTAGAAAACTGTCTATAATTTTCTTGTTCCATAGAGAATAAGAGATCATGACTATATATATATATATATATATATATATATATATATATATAAAATGTTATGTTTGGTAAAAGAAAAGATAAGGTAATGATAACAACCTGCATTTGCCACTATATCTTTTTACATTTAAAGGGCACATTTATAGATTAAGCGTGCATAACATCCATTGGTAGCTAAAAAAATCAATGCTGTTGCAAAATAAATCTTTGATCTAATTTTCACAACAGTAATTGAATTACCATTTACCCCAAAAAAAATTTGTAAGTGAGGATGCTTTTGAAAAATGGTTAATTTGATGAGAAGAATGGTGCAAATTTCCCACCTTGTTTCCAGCCGCTAAATAATGCACTGAAATAAGACAGTGGCCTATTTACAAATTCTCTTATTGATTTAATTGAATTAAGTAATTGATTTAAGGTAAATTTGGTATTAGAAAAATAACATTAGCTTCTCATCCCCTTTCATTTCCTCCCATTTTTTAGAGGATAACAAATGTCCCCCATTCCCTTTTCTTTCCTTATACCAAACACAATTTTTTATTTCCCTCCTTTACCTTTCTTTTCTTTTCCTCTCATTTCCATTCTACCAATCTGGATCTAGAGGACATCTTAAGAAATTTTTGTTACGAATGTAGTCGGTCGAAGCAAAATTTACTGACATCCTAAGAAGGTTTTGTTATGAATGTAGTTGGCTAACCCACTTTTGAATGTAGGTACTTCAGTGTTTTGTTATGAATAATGTAGGCCAACTACTTGTGAAAGTTACAATTTTCTTATCAAAATGTAGTGGGCTTACTGCATTAATAAAAGAAAGAAATGGTTTCAACTTCGTAGGTTCATGAAGTTTATATATATATATATATATATACAAGTAAAATTCACATGTGATGCACGTGGTCTAATCATTAACGAATATAAATAATAATACAATTATATATAAAACTATTATATATAATCTAATAATATTAATAATAATAATGTTCATTTATGTATTACAAAATCATAAAAATAAATATTAAGTAATTAAAATAAAAATAATTAAAACATACCGTATATAAATTATTATAAAAATTAGGTCCACAATAATGAATATGAAATAGAGAATACATTAATGAAACTATTTATTTATAAATATAGTTTGTAATTTTTTAAAAAATAGAGAATACATTAATGGAAAATTTTAAAAATGATGAGTTGGTGTTTAATGAAACTCTTTATTTATAACTAAAGTTTGTAAATATTTTTTTGAAAAAAATTTAACAAAAAAATATTTGTGTTTGTAAACTCTTTCGAGATCTTTGTCCAGAGATTGAATGGGCATTCTCTCCACAGTTGATGAACATTGTCTTTCAAAGAATTGTGGCAAAAGGCCCACCTTTGTCTATTCTTATTTTTGGTACAATATTTGTATTACTTCAATTAAAACATTCTTTCAATATATGAATTATGGTAAAAGTCTCTATTTATTAACATTTTTATATTTCTAAAATTACAAAATCATTTATATTAAATAGTTTACATTAATGTTCTTATTGTATTACTTGAATTAAAATATTCTTTCCAACTTTGTCTATTTGTATTTTTGACACTAAAATTTTCTAATACAATTATTATTATGTGTATCATATTAATGGCAATCAATTTTTGGTTTTTAATAGTCTATGATTTTAATATGAAAATTATATGTTCATTAGTTAACATTCCATCAGTTACGGATTAATTGGAATCAAATTTTGGTTCTTAATATTCTATGATTTAGATACAAAACATTTTTTTTTTTGCTATTCCATCAGTTACGTATACACGTGATTAAAATCTTTGATAAAAATTTTAATAGAAAATTTAGTTTATAAATCAAATGTGTACATGTATAAACCAAAAAATTTCTATAAGTCATTTTTTTATTTTTATTTCTATGATGCAAGATCAAAACCACTTTTAAAAATCTCTAATAAACTCAAATTTAAAGTATAATTCGTAATATCGTACTTTTTGAAACTATCCATATGAGCCATATATTTGATTAATTAAATTCAATTTGTGAACAAAAATATGCAAAGTTCTAAAGTATACGAGAACACAAACCAAGAAAGAAAAAAGAATAAAAAAAAAAATCCCAAAAACATATTTCAAGAGAAAAAATATAAAAAATATCTTTAAAAATTTCCAAGGTCAACATATGCAATGCCTTTTATACCCTAAAAAAAAACTTTAAGATCGAGTAACTCTTTCCCTAATTGGAGCCATCTTCCAAAGATTTGGAAAGAAAGATACACAACACAAGAATGAAATCACACAATTAACTTGGTCTCCCTTAATCTTTTATTTGCCATGAATTCAAAATTTTAAATTGTTTTAGCACTAATTGAAGTTCCTTTGTCGATAGTGGTAGCTTCTCAAAACTTGGTCTCCTCTAACATTTTGTATTGCCAAGTGGATATCTTCGTTTTGTTAATACTACAAACAAAATTAATTTATGATTATTAAGATATCAAAATTCAAACATTAGGCATAATAAGCTAGTATATGTCACATTATAGAAAAAAATTTATTATGAAAATGAAATGGATGTCATGAGTCGGATCATAATGTAGGGAAACTGTTTTACATGAAAAAAGTATGCTAGTTGGCTGACTTAATTGAAGGATCTTGTCGTAAGATGGTATGATATATAGATATATACAACAATAAATTAGATAAATATATATATAAATATATACAATCACCTCTGGCAAGAGAACTAATAATAAAATTTTTACATTTTGCTTCTTTTTTTCACCACCACCAGAGGGGTCCTATTTGACGAGGTCGCTTGTAAACGTCAAACTAAATGTAGTGAATGTGTGGTTCAAGAAGAACCTTTTATGTCAAATTTAAATTTATAAAAACCACTACTAACACCACTACTAACGTAGCAAGAGTGAGTAGGGATCGTCCCAAGGGATTATACGTGTTGGAATTTCAACTTCGACTCTAGCGTACCAAATGATTGCAAAAGAGAATTGGGTTGGTTGATTACTTCTAGAAAAGAATTAATTAAAATCCAATTAAAATAAAACTAAGTAGAGATAGGGATTTAAGAGATGAGAAGAGAGGACTTAGGGTGTTGGAATCACCACTAAG